ATCAACTTATTACAAAACAATAAATACATTCTTTAGAAAATTAACATTTCTGTTAACTCTTCTTTTCAAATACTATTATTAAATATTGGAAATCAATAAAAAATAAAAGATAAAAATTATAATATTTTTTAATAAACAAACATCCTATCTTCTTGCTTTTTTTATTGTATTTAATAGTATTATTATATTTATTGTTACAGTGCTAATTATAAGTTTAATATAGTGAGTTATAATATATACTGTATATTAAATTTATTATAAGTTAATATTATTTAAATTTTATTTTAATATTAATTTAGAATCCTATTTTTGATAAAATAAGAATTAAAAAAAAAATAAACAAATTTTATATTGAATTTTATATAGTGATTTATATTTAAAGTTTATATTATATAAATTAGATTATTTTTTTAATCAAGTAACTGATAAATAATATTATGTTAAATAAATTAATTTTAATTGGTATATAATATTAAGCTTTATAATTGTTATTTAATATATAGTAACAATACTCAACAAATACAATATTTATTAAAAAGATTAAAATAATTATTTAAGCTATATGGTTATAATAAATAATAACTAATATAAATAACTAAAGAACTGAATAACAAGTATTTTCAAAAATTAAATATCAGAAATTTATACAAAGTCAAATTGGATTTATTATTATTATAATAATAATAGAAACAATAAAAAGAATATAGAAGTAAATAATCAAATAATCTATTATATTATAACTATTTTTGAAACTTTGACATATCATATAATAAAAAATAAAAAGTTAAAAAAACTAGCTTGATTTAAAAAAAAAGTATTATCAATAAAGGAACCACTAGCCAAATTGTAATATGCCTTAAGAATGAAGATCTACTTCAATCTTATTATTATATAAGCATTAGTTTTAAATTAGCAACCAACTCACCAGGAATAAAATTAACAATGTTTACTATCTTTAATTGTTTTAAAGTAAAGAATTAATTTAGTTTAATTAACATCCTTAATATGAATATTTAACAAATATTTAATGAAAATATTCTTACCATCTGTAATTGTTTTTAAAGTAAATAATATAACTCAATTTAATTAAAACACGAATTAATTAATAAATATTAACAAAAATATTCTTACTGTTTATATTTATTTTAAATTTTATTATATAATTCCAAATAGAATTTATTTATTATTATTATTATTCTTTTTTTTAGTTAAACGACATTAAATGCAAATCTTTATTGATATTCAATATTATATTACATTAAACATCCTTTGTAATACATTGACTACAACTAAATGCTAACCTATTAACTTTCATCTAATACTCAGAAACCTGTTACTTAATGACTTTTCTTTGTAATATCAGGGGCTATAGGGGGTATAAATCCTATCACTAGTTTTTAAACTACCTAACCTATAGGACTTATATGCTTATGAGGAGCTTATATTGTTAATTATCTTATATAGATTACCTTTTCACATCACGCCTCTCTCAATCCATCATATGACAGAGGGGAACCTTCGATGCAAGCACATACTCCCTAGTAAATATTCTGATTTTGACCACTGGTTGGACACTATCAAATCTAGGGGACATTTTGGCCAAGTGGGGCATAACTCCTTAAGGATCTATATAAATGTGGGTTTGCAAGACACCACCTACAGATCGATTCTTAACCTCCTAGTAGACACTTCAGATTTGGACCGATTGGTATAAGCTGTCAAATCTAGGGGTCATTTGACCAAGCAAGGTGCAACTCCTATATACTCTGTCTCACCATATGGCTAGCCATGTTATCCTATGATAGCATTGGATTGGTGATTTCTTCAAGGCTTTTTACTTTCAGTAGTTAACAGTGGAAAAGGCTTAGCTGGGTTAATTAAGATGGAGCACAGTCCAGTTTATACTTCCAAATGTATGGTTGGTTCTTGACAACTTGTCTGATGACTATCATATCACTTCCAGACAATCATCGTGCCACACACCTTTCTTGGAGATCACAATCCTATTATCCCACTGGATCAGTGTGCAAATGACTTCTTATAGGAAATAAGGCTTTTATAGATTATATCCTCAAATACCATTTTTAGTTTGGTTCAATCACCTTCACCTGGAATTGAACTGGTATCTTGTGATCTGACCTGTGGAGTGTTAACCACTACACTATAGACCCACTATAAATATAATTTATATATGCAGTTTAAATGTAAATTATATAATAAATATTTAGACTTCTTTAAAAATTATTGTTCAAAACTTTTGAATTTCGCAATTTTTTTTTCGATAATTTAACTGTGTTTTAAGTTAAAAACCGGTAACCGCATTTCCGATGATCTTCGGCATTTTTTAATATACTTTTCTTTTTTTCCTTAAGTAATTAATTTTTCTGGTGGAATTGCGGTGGTATACGTATATTTAGGGTGTTACTAATCGATACATATCACATTTGATGCAATCATTTATAGAAGTCAGCTTATCAAGCTGACCAGTAAGATACAGCTTTCGCGACGATCATGCCAAACATAATAATAAACAAGCAGAAAAACAGAGGGCATTGATTTCGATTACATAGATTTTTAAAAAACCTGTATTGTATGTAACACTACTGTATCAATATCGGCGGGATTAATAATTACTTAAGGGCGGCCGTTACTATGGTTATATATAACCAGCACGTTTCTAATGTGTTAAATAAGAATAATCCATAACCCTTCCATCATGAATAATCAAGTCATTTTTAAATTATACCATACTAATAATCAGGGAGAAACTTTCTATGTTGATAATAAAGGCTGGATTTTTAATATAGATGATTTAACATGTCCTGTCCTAAAGGGCCATTTAACCGACATAAGTTTGATGAACTCGATAGGTGATTTAACCTTAAAATCCTATCAAATCGAATCCCCAAATATCATTTCCGCTAAACATGAATGCACCTTCTGTGGAAAAGCATTTCAGTCTCCGAGCGCGTTAAAAAATCACTATAATTCTCATACCGGAGAAAGACGTAGGTCTTCAATTATTTTAAATATTGTATATTTGTTGCATTTGAGATATACGTATAAGTGTTAAACAATTACACCTTTTTTTAGCCTTTGTATGTCATGTCGA